GACACAGGTGCTGGGTACAGCCTAAGGTGGGAAGATGGGACAGCCTGAGGTGGCCCAAGGCCACCAGGGCCAGTCAGGCTTGGCCAACCTGAGAGGCTGGGCAATCCCTCCTCACCAGAAGTCTCCTCGACTCTGACCTCATGAAGCGATTCTGAGAATGGATGTGGCAGCAAGCATGAAAACACTGGGTTCTTTAAAAAAAAGACACCATTGACCTATGAAGAATTCTGCCTGTGCTGTTCTGAGAGCTGGCTGGGCCTGGCCGCCCCAGGCACACTTCGAGCAGAGACAGGAGACTCGGCTCGCCAGTCAGCAGGCCTGTGGGGCTGGGCCGGGTTGTCTCTTCCCATCACTCAGGCCTGCCTGCTGGGCTTGGCACTGGCTGACTTACTGGTAAACTTGGGAGGAAGAAAGAGGAGGCCAGACCCATCTCAGTGGTGAGGGGAGATGTCAATCCACTTCCCCTAATAAAGTGTGGGATCAGCAGGAGAACACACACGTTCATTACCAAGTCTAATTAGGCTGGCAGACAAGTGGCATTAATCATTTTGACTGTACCTGGGATTCAATCCCCCTCACTCCATAATCAGAAAATTTCAAGCTCTGATGAGTGGCGGGGGCAGGGGGGAGTGGTGTAGCCCACATTATTCCTTTCGCTTTCATCTTTGGAGAAGACAGGAAGCAGGGAGGAGAGGATACAGTTTGGGGACCTCAGAAGGCCTCTCTCAAATCATTCCAAGTCCTTCCTCTGTTCTCTCTCTCTCTCTCTCTCCGCCCCGCCCCCCTCTTTTTCTCTTTCTCACCACCAGGACTCTCCCAAGAAGACCCCAATTAGAGCCAGGGGAGGGGTTGCCACCTTTCAGTGCCTGATTTTCCTAATCCCCCAAAGCTGAACACATGCTTACATCAATGAAAATACTTGGAAATACTTGGAAAATACTGTAGTATGGCTGGAGTACTGGATACGCAGTCCCCCCAAAAGCCATGGTCCCCGGGTCTTCTACACAGAGTCTCACCATCAGTGTCCCAGGAACCTCTTCTACAGAGAACTCAAGACTCGGCCTGGTCCTGCAAGACCCCGTGGTCATCCACTGGGCTTCTGTCCATGCAGGGAGCCAGGCAAAGCTCAGGCTCTGATGCTGCAGAGACTGCCAGTCAAGCATTAATCGCAGCTCAGTTCCAGGACTTGAAGAAGGGTGCGCTTAAGTTAGAGGGAATAGTCACGGACAAGGCAGGCAAACAGTGGGAAGACAGGGCCCCTATGAGACACCAGCCTCACTCGCTGGTCCCCAGCCCATCCTCAACGGTTCCGGGCCCAGTGCCGCTCACTCACGCCATCAGGCCTATCACAGGAGGGGACCTGAGCGTGGCAGCCCAAGGTCTCCCTCTCAGCCTTACAACCCCAACCACCTGACACCCCCTAGCTCTGAGCAGCCTGCCTTCCTGGGCTGTCCCCAGTTTAGACACCTCTACCAGCAAAGTCGGTCCACCCTCCCCCCGGGTGGAGTTGGAATTAGGTTTCCCACTTTGCAGACCATTCCCCGGTCCACAATGGCTGACATCACCACCAAAACAAGAGGAAAGGTGAAGGTCAACTCTAAGTACCTGCTACAGAAGGAAGGGTCCCTGATGGGGAGGGAATTCCTGAGAACAAAGGTGAGCTTCCATGGTTGTTTGCAGGTGCCATTGCCTTTTGGCATGCTGGAGAGAGGATTCTCACCACTGCACACACACTCATTTGTCACCTTCTCCTTCTCCTCTCTTTTTACTCCTGGAAGTTTATATGAAGTCTGATCTTTCCTTCGGGCCAGGCAAGCATTAATCGCAGCTCAGTTCCAGGACTCGAAGAAGGATGCGCTTAAGTTAGAAGGAATAGTCATGAACAAGGCAGGCAAACAGTGGGAAGACAGTTTTCTAAACCTTCCCTTACTAAAAGCCCACTTTGCCCACACAGCCCCCACCCCGTGTCAGCCTCCTGCTGACAGATGCCATGCACTGCCGCTGTCCTCCTGCCTGTCTCCAGGGGCAAGGAGATTTAATGTGCAGACAAACCACCACTTTTATCAGCCATTCCTAGACTTCTCCCTCAGCTGACAGAAGGGGTATGTCCTGATAAAGCCATCATAAGCTGAAAATATCATAAGTCAAAAATGCATTTGCTACACTTCGTGTCCTGAACATCCCGGCTTAGCCTCGCCCACCTTCAATGCGCTCACACGCTTCCGTTAGCCTACTGTTAGGCAAGATCATCTAACACACACTCACTTTATAATAAAGTGTTGACTATCTCATGACATTTTGGGAATACTGAAAGCAGTAAAGAGAATGCCCTGATTCAAAATTAGAAGTGCGGTTTCTACAGCATCATGGTGCTTTTCACCCTGGTAAAGTCAAAACACTCAGAGTCAAACCGCTGGTCAGAACCTGTTGTAATTTAGACTGCGCTCCTGGCCTGGCACTTTGCTGGGTGCAAGTGACACACAGGCACCTAAGTCTCCATGACCTCAAAGCTACTCTCTGAGGCACCCCTCAGCTGCAGCCCCAGGGCATGGAGGCGGGAACAGCATTTCTAGAGGACATTTAATGCCCCAATTTTCTGGGATGCTCTTGGCACTTGCTTCCCCACCTAACTCAGCAGCGGGGCTGAGCTTGAAAAGTTGCTGCGTGGACAGGTGTTCCTAAGTCACAGCTTAGGATGCTGGATGGTTGCAGCTGCTGGCTGGGAGGATGAGAGCGGTCCCATGTCCCATCACGCTCCCACTGCATTTTCCAGGCACTGTTCTAAGCACCTTCCATATTTATTCATTTAATACCCACATAAACATCTCACTAAATCGTGTTATAATCCACGTGTTTCAAAACAAGGAAGTGGGAAATGGAGATTCCCAGGGTCACACAGAGAAGAAGGGGCAGAGTCAGGATTCAAACCAGGTCTTCTGGTTCCCATCCCTTCCCTTAATCATTGCCTTTTAAAGTCATATTTACATCATCGTTTTTCAACACAAGGATAAAACAAACCAACCGCACTAGGGAACTAGATCTTCAGCTTAAAAGCAGATGCTTGGTGAGTTGGGTCTGTGATCTTGCCACCTGCCAGTCCTCATTTGCACATCAGGACATTTCTCAACTGCCCCATCCAGCCACGGGTCCATACTTAGTTAACTATTAATAATAACAAACAGAGGCTCCTCTCTGTAGCCCCTTGATTCTGACTCTCCTCCCTCTGTGGCTTTCAGACATCCCTGGCTGGCATTAAACGAACTATGTGGGCCACACAGAAGCCCAGAAAAGTAAACAGAATCTGCAAAGTCACACAGAGTCAGAGGAACTGCCCATGCACCTGGGTCTTCCAGAGACTATGAGCTAAAAGTAAGCAATTCCACTGCGAAGTGAGCATAAACTCATTTAATCATGGAATAGCACACGCTGTACAGCAATTGATATAGATCCTGAGCGTCTTAAATCAAAGTAGAATTCCAGTGGAGCAGGTTTCCTGGCATTTCAGCACACACACAAAATGTCACAGTGAGGACACTGCCTCTTTCTGTGTACACGGGATTGGGGCACACACATAGTCAGTCAAGGACGCGAGGACCTGAAGAGGGCAGAAGCTGCCAAACCATCTGTGGGCAAGTTGCATTCGATTCTACTCTAAGGTCAAGGGCATTTAGCAAGTGACGGCAGCTTTCCAGCAACACATGCCTCTAAAACTGCTGCTCTTTCCTTTTTAATTAAACCTAAACTGTGAGCTCTGGTGGTGGAGGGAGCAGCACCCACTGCCCCTGCCATCTTCCCCTTTCCCTTGACCCTGGCTCAGTCTGCACTCTCCTTCCCTGAAGCCAGCTGCAGTGGGAGGGACACTGCACAACTGCTCTGGACTGCAGAGAGAGGCGAGGTAGGGCTTTCCTGACGTGGCTGCATCCAGTGCTGCAGTCTGAGGGAGCTATAAGGCTGCTGTCGTGGGGGAAGGGCCTTCGCTGAAAGATGCAAACACATCCTATTTTCAGAGATGCTTGCTAGGGGCTGTGCCATTGTCTGTGCTTCAAATATTTAAAATATCCATATAGACGCATAAACACATGGGTGTGATACTCTCTGCCAAACACAGCAATAGCAATATGGTGGTGGGGGTGGGGAGGGGACACCCATTAGTGGAACACACACACACACACACACACACACACACGGAATTGCAGGAAGAGAAAAATAACCCCCAAGAAGACTGCAGATTTGTTGAGATCCACATATTGATGTCCAGGGCTTTATAGCCAGGTTTTGAGAAGAGCTGGGGCAGGAAGAGGCTGGAGGGGCCTGGGGAGGGGAGCAGAGAGTTGGGTAACTGCAGAGCCTGTTGACAGGTAGGGTAATCTAGGAGGCAGGACACAGCCAAACATCAGAGTCCAAAGGTCTGTGGGGCCAGAGATGGAAGTCAGGAGGGGACACAGGTCCAGGGTGACCTCAGCCTCTCTTCTTCATCACCTCTTCTGCTTCCCTCCAGCGCCTAACCGGGTCTCCTCCCCGTTTCAACAGGTCACCCTGCAGAGGGGAGTGGCATCAACCCACATGCACCTGGGCCTGTACTTCAGGCAAACAAGTCCTTTGCCATGAACCCTAACAAGCAGGGGTCCAAGGTGCTCTCAATGCCACTCTCACCACACACTCTCAAGAACACACAACGAGAGCAAGAGGGTGCTTGGGGGACAACCGAAGGAGACCTTGCCGCTGCCTACGTTGTGTGTGTCCGGGGAGGCCAGAGGCTGCACCTGTCTGGGGTAGAGGTTCCGTTCAGTCCAGCATAGCCATACCCGGCAGCCGTCGCTAGCAGCCACTGGGCGGGAGGCTAAGGGGCAGCGAGCCCCGAGCCCGGAGGCTTCTCTCCCTGAAAGTCCACGTCTCCCCTGCAGCCCGAGGGCAATGCCCCTCGCCCCTGCCCCTCGCAGCCCCTCGCCCCGGGGGCTGAGGTCTCCCCGCGCCCCGCCCGGCCCTGCCCTCGCACTCACGGGCACAGCGCAGCGCCTGCCGCAGCACCTCGCGTCCGCACAGGTCGCACCAGCCGCGCCCGCCGGGCAGCGCCAGCTCGCTGAAGCGATGGCCCTCGCCGCGCTCCGCCGGGACGCGGGGATCCTGCGGCTGCTCGAAGATGCTCCGCACGTCGCGGGGCCGGGGCGCCCCAGGCCGTCGCCGCAGTCTCGGCTGCAGACCAGGCCGGAGAGGACGCGCAGGTCGGGAGGCCCGCGGCGGGGGCTCGGGGTCCCCGCGGCCGGCCCTCCGCGCGCCGCGCCCCTCGTGTGCCGCGGAGAGGGGCGCGGGGCAGCAGCGGCGCGGGGGCCGGGCCGGGGGCGGCGGCGGGGCCTCGGGGCCGCTCAGGCTCTGCAGATACCGCGGCGGCTCCGGGTCCAAGAGCAGCGGGTACCGGCGCTGCCCGATGGCCGGGGACGCCATGGCCACGCCGGGCCAGCGCCCGGGCTCCGCGGCGGCTTCTCCCGAGTCGGCCTCGAGAGAAGGGCGGCCCGGCCCCGCGCGCCTTTAAAGGGGCCGCAGCCCGCGGGGCGGGGCGGGGCGGGGGCGGGGAGACTCGCCGAGGCAGGAAGATCCACCCGGGGGCCGCGGGGCCTCCCCGCCGCGGGGTGGGCGCTGGGGAGCCTGGGCCGGCGGGGCTGCCCGGCGCCTTCTGGAAGCCCAGCCAGCGGGACGGCCTGAGGGTTTCGCAGTGAAAGGCTCTGTGCAGGACCCCTCAAAAGCGGCCTTTGGCAGGGGGTCTACCTCCAGCCTAGCCCCTCGCCCTCTCGCATCGCCTCCCCGACCGAGACGACCCTCCTCCCAGGCCCCCAACGCGCGCGAGGCAGCAGGCTGGAGAGAGGGGCTGAGGCTCTTGCCCGGGTCAGGGTCTCTGGAGAGGTCACGAGTCTGGGGGTCGCCCCACCCTCCGGGTGTGCCCGCTGACCTCCCGCCCCTGCGCGCTCGCTCTGCTCAATCGCGGCCGCCGCCGCCCCCGGCGAGCCCGCCCGCGCGGGTCGGGAAAGCCGGGCTCCCTGGGCGCTCCAGCCGCGGCCGAGTCCCGTGACGCGCGGGGACGCGCTGCGAGACGCCTCCAGCGCTGACCGCGGGAAGCAGCCCTGGCGGAGCCCCGCTGTCCCAGTGCGACTTTCGCTCTGATTGGATTTCCCCCTCTGCAGCCCTGCCGGGTAGGATATTCCTTTCCCGGAAGGCTGGGGTGTGGAGATCATGCGCCCCGCTCTGTGAGACGGGTCGGTTGGACGCGCCCTCCCAGTTAGAGCCTCCTCTCCCCAGAGCTGCCCAGGGATGACTGGAAACACCGGCCACCCAGCCCTGTTTGTGTCTGAGCAGTTCACCCGCGGGTCCTTGAGAGAGAGCCCTCTCCTACCGCGCCAGGACAAGCTCCTTGCCCCAGCCTCTCTCCTGTCACCACCTTGAACGTTCTAACAAATTTTGAACACACGGTTTGGCATTTTCTCTCTGCACGGCGTCGGGCAAATTCTGTAGCCTGTCCTGTCCTGATCAGCACTTTGCCCCTGGAGACAGCCCCATCTCTCTCGTGGGGATCAGGCCAACGCAGGCCCTGGATCCATGAACCCGTGTCCTGTCACAGACCCAGTGGCAAGTCGGGGCCCTCCCAGCTTCTGCAGCTTTCTTAACTGTCAGTGGTCTGGGGTGGGGACACAAGGAGATGCTGTTGCCGTCCTCTCCAGGTCCACCACTCTGACTCGGTGGTCTCTGCCTGTCCTCTTAAGCCTCTGGGGCCGTTTGGTTGATTTAGCAGCGGTCACCAGCAGCCCACTTTGGAAACAGTCTGAATTCTTTTAGAGCAAACGCTCCCCTCCTGTTCCCAGGAGAGATGGGTCTCCCCCTGGTGTCTAGTAGCAAATATTCACTTTTACTTTGTGTTTTCCCTTTGGAGGTAATTTTAGGTAATTCCTAAAATCTCTAGAGTTTGGTGGCCTGGAATTTCCAGCCCACGTTGGCCCGTGGTTTCTCCTCCACGGTGGTGGAAATAATAGAGTCACCTGCCCGGGAAGTTGAAGCAGAGGACACATCCTGGGCCCTGGGTCTCAGCAGAGGCTGCAGGACCTCACCTCATGAGGTGCTTTCTGTGTGTCTGGGAAGTGGCCCCACAATGACACAAAGGAGATGAGGTGGGGAGCAGCGTGACGGGATCCAGCCCCTCTGCACCCCTCCTCCACCTTCTGCACCATCTGAACTGTGCTTTCTCGGCATCAATGGTTTTCAAACTTGGCCATCATAACCACCTGGAGGTCTGTTATATCAAAGGTTGCTGGGCTCCACCTTGGAGTTTTGAGTCAGTATCTGGGTCTGGGGGTGGCCTTGTTGCCACTGATCAAGGGACCCCACTTTGAGAACCAATTGCTCTAGATCTAAGATGGTGATAAGAGAATGGGCTTCTCTGTTCTTTCCCCCACAGGGCAGGTAATCCTCTGTGGGAAACAACAGAAAAATCCAAAGGGCGTGCTGTTCCTGGGGGGGTTTTACTGAATGATTAAAAGAAGTCTAAGTGCCTTTGCGATCTCTTAGTCCCACCTCTCCCGGTTTTTTCCTGCAAGTGATTCTCTCAGGGTGGTTAAGGAACCCGTGTCTCCTGTAACTGTTCCCTTGGGTCCGCCCTCTGCTGTCCATCCATCTCTGAGACTCCTTCAAGATCACCCCCTCCCAGCAGAGTAGGTGGCTGGGCAAGGTCCAGGCATGGGCCCAGCTTGAGTTCTGGGTGGTAGCTTGGTGGCTTGCTGTGGCAAGCAGGGACCAGGCAAAGAATTTATCATCAGAAGGCCAATTTTGAAATGGCATTGGGAAAATAATGGCTGGCTGTCACCACCTTTGGACTCTCCCGCCCCCCAACCATGAGTTGGGCAGCACAGCCCAGGTCTCCGGCCAGAGGGGCTCCTGGGATACTCTCTCCTCTGGCCCTGCAAATGGAGGGCCCTCAGGAATCATCAGGCAGAACCCTCTCCCCAGTGGCCTGCGCTGTGCAGGAAACTGCTCTGGGTTTGGTTTTTCTGCGGCAGCTCTGATTTGGAGGCAGCATGGGCTGCTCTCAGCACTGACTGGAGGAGATCGTGTAGGGCGAGACCCTATACTTGGCTTCTGGGATGGGAACAGAGATGAAAATGGAGATAGCATAACTTTATGTAAAAGTTTATCCAATTTGTCTTAAGGTTCATCTCCCTGGGCCAAGAAATTAAGGTCAGGAGAGGTAGTTGCCTCCCCCAAGCCCCAGCAGGAGGCTCCCTGCCTGAGCTTGCCTCCTCTGCTGCCCTCTGTCTCAGCAAAGTCCCTCATCCCACCACACACACTCACGCGTATACATACACAGACACGCATGCACACACACATGTGCACACATGCACTCACGCATGCAACCCATCCCTCCTCCCCAGGGAAGAAACACCACCTCGACTCAGTCGCTGCGGGCCAGGGCGACACCCTGGTCTTCAGGTAAGCAGGCTCAAGGGCAAGTCCACTGTCCGCCGAGACACCCCCAGGAGTTTCCCGGTGTGAGCAGATCCTCTTGGCTCCCAGCCACCGAGTTTTTCTGTGTGTGACTCACTCCCAAGGAGTGGGTGTGCTGTTTTCTTTTTGACCAAGGGGAAGGGTTATGACAGTGTTGAGTGTGTGGCCGCGTGTGGGGTCACCGCAGAGGTGGCCCCGGAATGTGTTGGTTCCCCACTGGGTGAGTTTTTTGAAGACTGTTGTCAGCGCCCCCTCCTCTTCTGCCTCCCCCCCAAGGAGGAAGGAAAAGAACAGGACAGAGTGTGGTCTGAATTTCTGAAGTGGAGATTTTGGGTTTGTTGGGCTTTGAGGCATTTGAAATTGCCTGAAATTCCCACTTTGGATGTTTTGGCTTCCAGGGGTCCCGACAGCAGGAGCACTGGGCCCGGTAGGAGGTTGGTTCACCGGGTGTGAACAACCTGGTCTCAGCGCTGTGGATCAGAGGCTCCTTCCTGCTCACGTGGACGTGCCCCATCAAGTCACTCATGGGGCCGCCACCCCGTCCCCAGTCCCCGTCACCACGCAGGAGGGAAGAGGAAGTCCAGATGGATGGCAGCATCGGGCGGTCCCTGTCACCTCCACTCACATCTCAGGGCCAGGACGCCCGTGGGCCCTGGGGGACACACCATACAGCCGGGGGTGGGGCCACATCTTCTAGGTAATTGCAGTCTGTGATGTTAGCACAAGGACAAAAATCGCCTAGTGACTTGTCAGAAGGTGTCCTAGTTGAGTGGCCTGTGACTAGTTAGTGGCCCGTGACTAGTTGGTGGCCCCTCCACAACGGGAGCAAGAAGCCTGATGCTCCCTCTGCTCAGAAGGGGGATGAGATGGAAATACCCGGCAAACAGCGCTCAGGCCAGGGCAGTCCTTGAGGGTCAGCAGAACCATGGCCAGGGCAGTTGGTGAGGGCCAGCGGAGCCATGGCCAGGGCAATCCTTGGGGTCCAGTGGAGCTGCTCATTTCACAAGTACTTGCTCCATATCAGGTGCCGTTCTAGGCTCTGAAGGGACACTGTGGAATGGCCATGTTCCCAAAGCTCATAATTACAGAGGGGGCACCAGACCATGAACGCACTGGCACTGAAGACCATCGGAGGACTTTAGGGGAGAGGAGGCGGCAGAGGTTGCTGTGCAGGCTGGCTGGCCAGGAGAGACATCTCTGAGGGGAAGACACTGAACACAGATGCGACTGGAGCAAGCCCTTAGTCTCTGAGCAAAGGTGGCCCAGGTGAAGGGAGCAGCAGGCACGACAGCCCCCAACTTTCCCAAGTTCTATGGACATGAGTTGGTTCCAAATGTGTATTCCCAGACCTCACTTCCCATGACTGTATTTTATAAGAGAACTTGTATTTTATAAGAGAACTTAAATAACGTGACTCAATCCACACTTGAAAATGGGCGTGAGGCAGCAGGCAGTTGGGAATGTGAGAGCCCCCAGAGACATTCCAGGAGAAATGCTGTTCCCTGCTAGCCGCAGGTGCAGGCTCCCGCGCCCATGGGCGGCCCTGTTGCACACAGGGTGGCCCTCCCCAAACAGTGGGTGTTAATTGCATGTGTAATGGGGTCAGGAATACCTGCCATGGCTGCGCTGTGAGCAGGACCATGATGAAACGTCAGGAAATTAAAATGTTGGGAGCATTCCTTGCAAAATGCCACGTTGACCACCTTTGCTCAAGACACATGGGCTGAGTGCCCACCAGGGAGCAAGTGTCTTTGGCTGAATGTCTTCCTCTTCACAGCGACTCTGAAATGGCCGCTGCTCTTATTTTACCGATAAGAAAACGGACCTCCCAAGTTATCACAGCCGGACTCAAATCAACTCAAATCCATGACTTTGCCTTTGAGCTGCCCAATGATTATAGTAAAAAGGGGCAGCCAAAATCTCTGACCTCACTTTACAGGTGCAGTTTAAAGATGCAGCATAAT